CAGCTGTTCAAAGAGGAGAACAGATCAATATGTTCCTGATATTGGAGATTTGAGGGGAAACAGTTCACCTACATAGAAACATTCAGAGTTTATTTATGAGTAAAACATTAAAAATTGTGTTTGTGAGGATGATTTGTCAAATCACATCAACCTGTGGTACAACAACATGTGTTTTTATTGACTGACTTGTTGCCATATTTTCATCATCCTGTTCCTCTTCATCTTCATCAGTGGTGAATCCAGCAACCATTTAACATCAGATACATCATTCAATGACAATGCAGAAGAAAAGGCAATACAAACTTGACATTACGTACATCAGAGACATCGTATTGGCCCATTTAAATGTTATGTCTACAAATATCAATGTATATAAATAAATAAATGTGAATCCATTGATGAATAGACCTCATATGTTGTTAAATTTCAACCTAAAACCAACATGGAAGCAACTTGTAACATCAAACATTTAATAAGAATATAAAGACCCCTTTGCACACCAGTTTATGTGGTCCTACAATTGAGTCCACATTACCATTGTGACATGTCTTAACAGTAAATTACTTAATTGTTACATTTTAATATTTGCACCAAATCCAAATTTTACTGATCTTTAAGACCTCCAAAGTTCATGCAATGGCAACAAAAGACTGTATTTTCTCACAGAAAATAGGGATACAGTCATATAAATATACCTGCTTCACTTTCAATCAGCTCATCATCAAGCTCTGCAGAAGCCTGATAACGATCCTGATCATTTGAATGAGGTGTGTTGGAAGAGGGAAACATCTGAAACATGCAGGATTGTGGCCCTCGAGGATCAGGGTTGCCCACCCCTGATGTAATCACACCAGGACATACGGATATTGTCACGCCATTCCTCTGGGAGCAAAATTTCTGTCTCAAAGTTCTCCCACCAGCTGGAAGTGGTGGTGGGAGAAAAAAAAAAGAGTTTGTGGGAGAGTTGGAGACGTGAGTCACTGTGGGCCTGAAACAGAATCTATCATGATGTTAACCAGTGGAAGGTGTAGGAGGAAGTGGAATGGCAAGGTAGCGGAAAATAACCATCCTGAACGTCGTCTTTCACCAATGTTCTTGTACATGGAGCAGTATTTGGGCTTGTAAAAACAAGCAAGCATGCAAAAAGCACGTGGACAAGAGACAACGCCAGCATAGTTTTGAGGGCATCCATGCTGTTTCTAAATGTAAACACAAGTCGCACATGTGACGTAAGAACATATTTTGTCGCAGGCAGTGACGTTTCGAAACCTAAAATCCTGATTATTGATTTCCACATACAGACACATAAACGAGGTATTGGCAAATCTTCACTTTGGTTGGAGGTTTTTGAAAGAATCATTTTTAATGTTGTAAATCTGTGCTTTTGTGTGGATGACAAGCCAAAATGTAGCAAAACATCTTTGTATTGTGAGATACCCTGCTACATGTGGACAAGGCCTTAACACTTTGGACACTTAACTCCACACAGCCTTCTACCAGTTAAAGACACAACCGTGGTGGACTTGGTTTTCATGTTAAGACTGACAATAACTCACTTGGTTGTACAGGACCTGAATATCTCAGATCACCATTGCATTACATTCACTGTCCCATTCCTCACAGTCTCCACTTCCACCACATAAAAGGTGAACTAAAGACATTCACCTTGAAGCAATGATGCAGGAAGACTGAACACAAAGCTGTGAATAGACTGTGAATGAGCCCTGTGACTGTGATCAGGCTCCTCCTCCTCATCCATCAGCTTAGTGTTGATGGAGACCATACAGAGAGATCACAGTGTTCTTCATACTTGCTGTAGCTCACAGTTACTCAACACTGCAGATATGATGCTGTCTCTGTTCACCTCAGTGCTGCTGGCTGCTGTGTGTCTTGGTATGAACACAACTTTGTTTCTTTGATATCAATGCAAACCTAATGCAAATCTTTACCAGCACACTGATACTGTTTGTTGGTGTTTTGCAGAATGCAGAGCACAAAAAGACAACGTGATGCAACCGAAAGGAGATGTGAGTCTTGCTGAAGGAGAGGCAGCAACACTGGACTGTCTCTATAACAGCACTTCATCAAATCCATACCTCTACTGGTACAAACAGGATGGAAACAACAGCCCCAAATTCCTCCTGAGCCGCGTTAAGCTGGATGAAGGGAACACAGCAGACGACTTCAAGGAGAGATTTTTATGCACACTGAATTCAACATTCAGATCAGCTCCTCTGAAGATCCAGAAGCTTCAGCTGTCTGACTCTGCTGTGTACTACTGTGCTGTGAGGCCCACAGTGACAGGAAACAGCAAAACTCTGTACAAAAACCTTTGGAGCAAAGACAAGAGAAAACTCCACATCATCTTCTAGAGAGAGACACACTCTGTCACACTTCTATGGTTTTTTCCAGATACAAACTGTCTCTACTTATGAGACAACGTGATAAAGAATGGTAGACATGAAGATAATGTGATGAGTGTCCTCCTCCTGACTGCAGAGGTGCTGCATGAACATCAGAACAAACACAACTAACTGACATTGAACATCAGGTCCAACATTTCAGCAACACAAACATGGAAAACCTGGTTTTGACTTGGTTCATGTCACCTCTCGTAGCTCTGTATGTTTCTGACAAACAACTGAAATACATTTTCAAAGTGTCACAAAATCAGTTTGCATTTTCTTTTAGCTCAAGCTTAGAGTTTAACATTTCACTGATATAAATCTACCTGATAGCTGGACCTTTTTAGGTTACAACATGAAGCCATTTGAGATGCAAACTAGATCTGAAAAGTGAAACATAAAGAAAGTTTGATATTACAGTTTCAAACAGCATTGGTGGACTGTTGTGAAGTAACATTTGTTTGAAATAAAAACATCTTTACTGTGACATTTTTCTAAAGTCTCAGTTAGGAAGAAAACATAAACTTTATGAGTAAATTACAAGAGAACACCTTGGAAGATGTTAGTAGCAGTTCTCAGGTGTTTGTATCATGTCACATAATATGATCAGAATTAACTGCTGTTGGATGGTTTCAGGATCAGCTGAGATGTTTCTATAAATGACAGACAATCACACAACAAATCCTCTGACAACCAAACTAACATCTGACAGACATCAACCACTGAACATGTGTGAAATATAGAGAATCCAGTCTGTAAACTAGAACATATGGAAAACAAGTGAAATCTAGAAAATAATTTACAAAACACAGTCATTAATTGATGACACTAGAGGGAGACACACTCTGTTAAAGATCTGATTTATGAGTTCTTGGACTGATGACAAAGACAACAGAGAAATGAAGCAGCAAAGATCAGAGACAGAGCTACTGTGGAAACATAAAACACTTTGATTGGCTGAACTGAATTGAAAAAAAGATGTCAAGACGTAATGGCCCCACCCACTGAACTTCAGCTCATTCACTGACATTTTTTCTTCCTCATTGTACTGCAATGGAAGAACATTGTTCATCTGCTGTGTGTCTGACTTCAATAACCCCCAAGACATGTTGCTTTACCTGTTTTTGTTGTCGTCTCTCATAATTGGTGAGTTTAAGATCAGAGATCAAAGTCTTGACCTGCTGCATGAACCACATATACAGATGTTATTTCCCTACTTTTCTTCTTTGTTCTTGTGAGAAAATGAAAACTAGTTTTGATCATCTTTAAGTCTGACAGAGTTACACATTTGATTCCATTGTGAATGTCCACAGAGTAACACTGTACAGGTGACATATTTCACTGCTTTCTCCTTTCAGCCTCATGGACAATGTGAGTCTGATGGCTTCATTTTCTCTACTTTTTCCAGGACTAATAGCTGAAACCACAATCTCTCCTGAACAAGATGAAGTCAGTGAAACAGAAGGACAATCTGTTGCACTCAGATGTAACTATGAGACAACCAGTGATTATGCAAACCTTTACTGGTACAAACATCATTCTGACCTTCAGGCTCCTCGGTTTATACTTTGGAAAGAAGGAAAAGGAGACACAGATGAATACATTCCTGATGAACGCAAATATGGATCCCAAACATCAGACACATCAACTACATTGACCATCAGAGAGCTAACCCTGGCAGACACAGCTCTCTACTACTGTGCTGTAGA